TTGTGGGCCTCCCTTGAGGGGCGTTTCCCGGTTTTTTTTTTTTTTTTTTTTTTTTTTTTTTTGGAGACAGGCTCTGGCTTGAATTACTAAATTGCTCAGGCTGGACTTGAACTTGCAATACTCCTGCCTCTGCCTCCCAGAGTTCTGAGACTGCAGGAATATACCACTTGGGCATCTGTTTCTTCCTGATTACCAACCACGGCCATTCCCTCAAGGCCAGTACTCTTAAGGGGCAGGTGCACCCATACATACCCCTCTGCACAGATTTAGACAGACTCTGACGCCTAGGAACCCAGGACCTGCAGAGCCAAATTTATGGGTCACATCCACCAATCCTACCAGCCTTGAACTAGCAGGCTTTGCCTTATCTACACCTTATCTAATACGCCTACCCTGCTTTTCTCTTAATTTTAATATCCTTAATTACTCATTTCTAATCCTTTGGCAGAATTTTTAAAAAGTCTTATAAACCATTCCAAATTTTAGAGTATATAAGATTCTATACAAAAATTCAAATGTATATATGCAAATATAAAATCATTTTGTACCATGAAAACTACAGTTGAGCCTCCTATAAGCTTAAGAGTCATCGAAAGATTCTGAAGATTACAAAGCCGGTATCTGCTGAGTTTTTGCTCAGCACCCATTCACAACTCTTCTGGTGACAAGAACCTGAATTACTTAGGAGTCACCTCCTTTCCTCCAGGCATGCAACTTAGGAGGACAGGGCTTCTCTTCCAGCTCCAAGGATGGGCAAGGGTATTCATTTGACACACTGTACTCGTACAGAGTCAAGGTGACAGACACGTGGAGATACATTCTGGTCTTGCGTATGTCTCTACACAGTGAAGCCAACTTGGAGAACAGCAGAGCCAAGAGCTGGTGGGAAACAGTCATGGTACAGGAGCCCCTGGATGCAGCCATGCCTGATGTCTCTCACCCCTGCATCTTTCAGTTTAGGGATCAATATACTCATTTTTTCAGGCCAGTGTGAAGTGGGTTTAAGAAGAGAAGGAGGAATTATACTGGAGCAGTCTGATAACTTTGGTCAGACTGACCTCAATCATCATCTGTTCACTAATCAAAACAGAATATGGAAAAAAACATTGGAGGTGTTCGGGGAGAAGATAGATGAAGGCCTTATAAGTGAGTTCTCTGCTCCTGGCAGGAGCAGGGGACCAGAGTAGATGTTTGGTGTTTCTTGAAATATGAATGTAGCTTATGATAAGTCATTCTCTGGAAATGGAGGAGGGGCCTTCAGTGAGCACACACCGGCCTCCCCGCAGGCCCTTCTCTTCCCCTCAATAGAGTATCCATCAAAACTGGGGACAGTGACCACAAGTCGTTGGCAGAGGTTGAATCTGCCCTTGGCTTTCTGCAGACACATCATGCAGGTGAGAAGCAGGGATTCTAGAATTGCACTTCCTCTGGGGAAGGTGAAATAAGGCTGTGTCATGTCAGAGAGAAGGCAAGTAGGAGGGGCTGGAGGGTTTGAGCCTCCTGGGTGGCTCAATCCTGTGGCACAGTGTCAGCCCTATCTGCCCACAGACACAGAGCCCCAGAACCCAGGTGTGCCACCAGGAAGTTGGAGGGCTACCTGTCTGTGCCACTGCTCAGCTTCCTTATAAACTTACTGCCCCTGCAACAAGGAGCTGGGCAGTACTCAAAGGTAATGCAACAGAATGGAGCTAGACAGTATAAACTGCTCTGCCAGAGGAAAAAAAATAAGGAAATAATGGAAAAGTAGAGAAAAAAGAACTGGAAAGCACTCAAGAAACAAAAAAGTTAAAAAAATATGCACATCTCCCAAGATAAAAAACTTTGTGTGCAACAGTATCATTCAGGGTAAAATTGGCAAACAGGTGCTGGCTCCTGGGAGAATCTGCACCAGCCTAGAAGGTAGGAGGAAAGGGGCTGGAGCTTTACATTTCTGCCTCAGTGTGGCCATCGATTTGATATGGAATATTAACTTGGCAGGGCCATGGAGTGCCTGATTATTTGCTATACCATTGTGAGGGTGTACGGGATGAGTTTAACATTTAAGTGGACAGACAGTAAAGCAAGACTGACCTCTTGTGTGGGAGCACCCCCACCAATGATCTGAAGGTTTGAATAAACAGGAAGCCGATCCCCAAATAAGCTCCTGTCTTGGAGCTGGGGCATCCATTCTTCTGGCCCTTGGCATCAACTAAAACCGCATCTCTTCCTGGGTCTCTCCTTGTCCCTGGGACTTTAATGAGGACTAGAACGGTGCCATGGACTCTCCTGGGTCTCCCGCCTATCAACTACAGATCATGGAACTTCTCCGCGTACATAATCATGCAGGCCAATGTCTTATCTAAGCCGCTTCTGTATCATCTACACAGCCATCCTATTGGTTCTGCAACTTTGGAGAACCCTAGTGCACCTGGGTTTGTGTGCATTTTCTCCCCCACAGCAAGAGCAAAAGGATTATTCAGGGCTCTCTGAATGAGATCTGACTTTAAAATACAATGAGTCTTAGGAATGATCTAATCTAAATCCTTCTTCAGGATTGGTTTTTCGATTCCTAAGCCCAGAAGTAAAAGGAGCTAACCAAGTCTATGCACCTAATACCAGATTTTGAAACATAAAGTTCAGGGCTCGGCAGATCACGAAAAAAAAAAAATCTTTTGAAAAATGTCATGTCTCTGCAAGAATAAGGAAGCCAACTGAAAAAGGGATGATGACAGGGACCATTC